GAAAAGTTGATATAAATATTGTGACAGAGTCCCCCCTCCTACAGTTTTCCATGATAAGGTGATATAACTATTGTGACAGAGTCCCCCCTCCTACAGTTTTCCATGATAAGGTGATATAACTATTGTGACAGAGTCCCCCCTCCTACAGTTTTCCATGATAAGTTGATATAACTATTGTGACAGAGTCCCCCCTCCTACAGATTTCCATGATGGAAATGTAGAAAGGATCCACACCTTGTATGAAAGTAGCATTAATTTGTAGAAAAGTGAAAAATTTTGTTATGACTTTTCATAAATGTCTGAAGCCTTCACCAGGATGTTAATTTAGCCATGTAGGAGAAAACTATTATTTTATTTAGAGGAAAGTTGGAGTTAAGACTAGCCAGATCTTTCTTGTCTCTACTAGAAACAACAAATTAAACTATTACCTGTAAGGAAACACTCGAACATCTTTATTAGAGGAAGTTGCTCTGATTTTCTCAGTTAGCTTATCTGAAACGTATCGAGCCATCTCAAGACCCTTGTAAAAGTCCCTTGATGTTCGAAGAATGGTGTGATAGGTCATGAAGTGAGTGGCTAGATGAGAACAAGAAAAACTTTCAGCAATTTTTACTGCTAAATAAATTTCAAAGTTATAAAAACTATGAATTCTGGCATGTCAAAACTACATGAAATTCTGAAGAGTTTTTGAATCTTTTAATCTGACCTGGAAACACGTTAAAATATTAATCTTAAATCTAGGAGACTTGAATTTCGAAACAAATTTAGAATTTTACACTTTTGTTAAACATTATCCTGATTGGTATGGAAACATAAGGTACCAGAAAGGATCAAAGTGTATTTTTTCACATAAAAACGACATTTTTCTATATCTTTCAATAGCTATGTGTGTTTTATTTTAAGATCTTCAAACAAGGAAGTTATAAGCTGAACTGTCTGAGTGTTTTATGTTAGTTTTCGTGATATCACTTATGCAACGTACATGAGATATTTACATATTACAGTGAGTTTGCCAAAATAATAGAAACACTTTTCCCCTAATAAAGCAAATAAATGTTAAAAAAATCTGAAATCCTAGTTTTAAATAATTAATCCTCAACGTTTGGTTTAAACTATTTTTGAGAACATTTTTCATTTCTTTATAATAAAATGCACAGCACTTTCATTATAACACTACTTTAATTAATTACATTATGAAGATAATTATGAAGATTGAATCATGACCAACATTACTATATTTTCATTCAATCAAATAACTTTACTAAGTTCTAAACCATAAAGTTAATACAGCATTATATAACAAGATTAGACAGACAATACGTAAAGTATTGTTAAATCTAATGACGTCAAGATTAGGGTTAGGTGAAGTTTGAAAGTCACGACTCCATTCACTGGATACATTTCAATTCTTAATTAAACTAAGCTGCAACTATCAGTCTTCACATTTTCCAAAGGTCAGAAACCACATGACTCTTGATCTAAGTAAATCAGTTTGTCAATTCTTTATTAAACTAAGCTGCAACTATCAGTCTTCACTTTTTCCAAAGGTCAGAAACTACAAGGCTCTTGAGCTAAGTAAATCAGTTTGTCAATTCTTTATTAAACTAAGCTGCAACTATCAGTCTTCACTGTTTCCAAAGGTCAGAAGCCACATGGCTCTTGAGCTGAGTAAATCAGTTTGTCAATTCTTTATTAAACTAAGCTGCAACTATCAGTCTTCACTTTTTCCAAAGGTCAGAAACCACATGACTCTTGATCTAAGTAAATTAGTTTGTTAATTCTTTATCAAACTAAGCTGCAACTATCAGTCTTCACTTTTTTCAAAGGTCAGAAACTACATGGCTCTTGAGTTAAGTGAATCAGTTTGTAAAACTTAAAAGCTATTTACCACCTTACATTTTATGTGTTAAAAATACTGATTTTAACTGTTTAACTACAGAAATATTTAAGCATTGGATTTCACTTCTTAATGAAAATTCTCACTTTAGAAGATGACAGTTTTGGAATGATGTGTAAAAGTTAGGTGGAGCCTTGAATGAACTGTCCGTTACTTACGTTTTCAAGTTTAGAAATTTGAAATAATGAGTTAATATTAGAAGAAGGCTGAAAATAAACTGTTTGATCTTAGCAAAGTAAAGCTTTCAAAGAAAACGTATTATCACAGAAACACTTCACAACATTCACAAAAGCCACACGTAATATTAATAAAAGGTGAGTTGGTTTCATCTTCAAAAATAACACATCGTCATTCCTCATTTGAAGCTAATTTCCATTTTTTTTCAATATTTAATTAAAATTAGCTTCAACATTAAAAGTAATATATGATGTTACAGATTAGTCAACCTTACCTCCTATTTTCAGTTTGTTCCCACTGGTTGGGATTAGTTCCACAGCAGATCCAAACTGTGATTTTCCTCTGGATCAGACCAAAAACTGTTAACTTTCATTTTGTGATATATGTGATAAAATGTACACTATGCACTACCCTACATTACTAATTATATCATTTTTCAACACAAACGACTTTATTAAACGATTTAAACATTTATATCTTTTATCTATTCAATGGAACTAGGAGAGCAGAGGGGTGCAACTAAATGGTTGAGAGCAATATGTGACTTTCTTGCTATTTTTTACATTCTAGAGATCAAATCACTGAGAAGTTTTTTTAGATTAATAAGTTATTTCCTAGATTAACGAAACTAACTTTGTAAAACAAGCTCCCTGGTGGCTAGAGATATGGTAGAAAACAAAAATATTGATTTTACCAATTTCATAAATTTTTCAAGTTATTAATATTACAGGAAGTTCTCCCGAAAAAGTATGATAATAAATATGTACAATTTGTTTCAAGACACCTGGTGTCTTTATTGACAGTTAAATACAAAAATTCAAGCTTACGCTTTACTGCACTTCTCACTAGGTAGATCTGACAGAAAGAACGGCACATAGTGATCAAATTCTTTTCCAACAATCCGAGTGTCTGGGCTGGCACAACTTTCACACCCTAGTTTCTCTAGAAAAAAAGTGATTCAAATTTGTTGTAAAACAAACATAACACAGTAAGTAATAACACATCACCATTTCTGTTATGTATCAGTTAACAGTAAGTAATAACACATCACCATTTCTGTTATGTATCAGTTAACCGTAAGTATAAACACATCACCATTTCTGTTATGTATCAGATAACACAGCAAGTAATAACACATCACCATTTCTGTTATGTATCAGTTAACAGTAAGTAATAACACATCATTTCTGTTATGTATCAGTTAACAGCAAGTAATAACACATCACCATTTCTGTTATGTATCAGTTAACAGCAAGTAATAACACATCACCATTTCTGTTATGTATCAGTTAACAGCAAGTAATAACACATCACCATTTCTGTTATGTATCAGTTAACAGCAAGTAATAACACATCACCATTTCTGCAGCTTAATTGTCTTGAGAAAGATATAGATTATGAAATGTAGAATGTACAAGGCATAGTAATATAGGTTTAAAAGCAATATTACAAGTTTCTATAGTTTACATGCAGACTGAGGAAGGCTTTATGGGTATCTATTGTCTTATTACACTAATTAAGATTCTGATGTGATATTTAGCTTCCCATAGCGATTTTATAAATGATATGGTTTAGACATGATATTATGGCCTGGCATAACCTTTGTACACTTTTATATGGTTCTAAAATGATATTGATCTTCAGGCTGGCATGACGTATCTGATCCTCAGTTTGGTAAATCTATTGAGTACACTCTATATTACATCTATTCAAATAGAAAGTGGGAGTAGGTTTTGGGGAAAAAAATTCACATTCAAATATAGTTATAGGTTATGTTTTTATATTTAGACATTTTTTATTTTGCCAAAAGGAGCTTTGGCACGGCATGATAGGTGTGGCTTAATGACTATAACCTTCTTGATAACTTAGGAGCAGTAATACAATAGATGATGATTAATATTGAAGTAGCTAATTTTTTTAGTCAGACCGTTACTGTCAGCCAGTTTGTTGAGTTTTGTGAATAGTGAGTTTGTGTTTGAACAAAAAAACAGATGTACAAGAATGTGCCACATATACGAGAGATTTAGCGAGTAAGAGAAACTGTTTTCTAAATTTGTGAACACAAGTGAAAGCTACTAAAGCTAACTTGGGGATCTTGTAGTAAAAGAAATTAAAAGTTTCTGTTATCATTAAGTGGGATGGACTTAACAATTCAAAAGAACTAAACCAGCAATAGAGAAAGTTATATAATACACTGTCTAGCTGAGGCTTATAAGAAACAAGAAGAAACTGTTGAATTTAAATTCTATTTATACAATCTCTTACAAGATAAATGACTCAATATTAACAAAGTACACTTGGTTGTAATGTGCTGACATGAGTTTAAACAAGTATATTGTATTCTTTTCTTAAGACTTACCTTGAAATATTGAAGGGCAGTGAGTATGATTACTGTGTTCGTAGCAGCAGCTAATGCTTTTCATATAATCTATGAAGTCATCTAACCAACTAATCACCTCTTCTGCTAGGTACGTTCTGGGACAGAATAACAGAAATATTAATGTAAAAAACTGAATTAATTGTTTATCAAGAAACTGGAATAGTTGTAAAATATAATTTTGTAAGTATTAATAGACCCGTGTCATCTCCTAACGTCCATAACTAATCAGTATTAATACACCCGTGTCATCTCCTAACATCCATAACTAATCAGTATTAATACACCCGTGTCATCTCCTAACGTCCATAACTAATCAGTATCAATACACCCGTGTCATCTCCTAACGTCCATAACTAATCCTGATTAGTTATGGACGTTAGGAGATGATACGGGTGTATTAGATACTTTATTAATACACCCGTATCATCTCCTAACGTCCATAACTAATCAGTTTTAACATTTCGTCTGATTAGTTATGGACGTTAGGAGATGATACGGGTGTATTAGATACTTTTTTAACACTTCGTAAGCATCAATACACCCGTATCATCTCCTAACGTCCATAACTAATCCGTTTTAACACTAGTTAGTTTGGATAATTATGGATGGAATAATTTCATTACTAGTGGTAACATCCAGAATTAATATGATGCATTCTCAAAAAATCCATATGTACATAAACTACAACACTATTAAAACAAACCATATGAACATAAACTACAACACTGTTAAAACAACTCATATGTACATAAACTACAACACTATTAAAACAATTCATAAGTAAATAAACTACAACACCATTAAAACAACCCGTTTGTCCATAAACTACAACACTATTAAAACAACCCATAAGAACATTAACTACAACACTATTAAAACAACCCATTTGTACATAAACTACAGCAATATTAAAACAACCCATCTGTAGTTAACCTATGTCATTATTAAAAACTACCTATCTCTACTAAATCTACTACAATTTTAAAACAACACATCTTTAATTTTATTTTGTTTATCATCTGATGACTCTTTTCCAGCCAAACAATGCTGTAAAACAGTCCTGCCTGATGAAGAAAATATAAAAATTGTTCATTAAAACGTTTGAAATAATTCTAATTGTACAATAATTTTATGAGAATAATTGTTTATCTGTTTGTTTAAAGTATTCGTGTTTGAGCTACACCAACTTATTCAACATTATGGAGTATCATTAACTTGAAGTTCCAGTGACAATAAACTTTATGGCACATACTAGTTGAAATTTGTCTTAAAATAGATACGCACTGTGCTATGTACTAACCAAAGTTTGTGCTATATGTTAGCTAAACATTTTACTATGTGCTAGCTAAATATTGTGCTATATACTAGCTAAACATTGTGCCATATACAAGCCAAAGTTTGTGCTATATGCTAGCTAAACATTGTGCCATATACAAACCAAAGTTTGTGCTATATGCTAACTAAACATTGTGCCATATACAAACCAAAGTTTGTGCTATATGCTAACTAAACATTGTGCCATATACAAGCCAAACTTTGTGCTATATGCTAGCAAAACATTTTGCTATATGTTAGCTAAACATTATACTATGTGATAGCTAAATATTGTGCTATTTGCTAGATAAACATTGTGCTAAATGTCAGCTAAACTTTGTGCCATATGCTATATGAACTTTGTTATATATATATATATATTAGCTAAACACTGTGCTATATGCTATATCAACTTTGTTATATATGTTAGCTAAACACTGTGCTATATGCTAGCCAAGCTTTGTGCTACATTTTAACTAAACTCTGGACCAAAGGTTAGCTAAATTTTATGCTAAATGATAGTAAACTTGGTGCTATATGCTAGCTAATTATAAAATTCCATTTCTGACTGACTCCCTTAAAACTGGCAATAAAGTTTATCTAACCAGATATGAAACAATATCTTGTCAGAAATGTTCTTCAATATAAGCAAAAACCATAATTCATTGAATTCTTATTCAGTAATCTCTCAACTTGTCATTGTGAAAAGTAAATTACAAACAGATATTCTGATGTAATATGACCAGATCAGATTGTCTTAAATAGTGTGGTAGTTTAGGTTAGTGATAACAAGTTTTATTAACTGTAAGTAGCCACAACTTCATTTCTCATCAACAAGTCTCAAATGTTGAAGAAAAAGTAGGCATCTGTGCAAGGTTTCTATACAAACTATAGTCTCTCTAGCTTATAGTATTGTAAACACAGAATACAGCTTTTGATTACAAAATACACAGACAGACAAACTCATTGGTGGATTTTGGAGGGGACAACCTCCCCCTTTGTCATAAAAATTATTTGTTATAAGCAAATTTGATTCACGTTAAAACCACATGGACTTAATTACTTTGATTTTACAATTTAGTTGTAAATAATTTTTCATTCTATTTCCAAAACGTTGCAGTGAAGCCATTGAGTTGTTATATATTATTAGATGCACATTATAATCTATCACTCAAGGTTCCATGTCTCTCGATCTGTCCATTGACAAATTACATGAATCTAAAATTACAGAAATGATCAAATGTACTTTTCTTTCCTTCCAGCAGCTCCTTTCAGAATAAAGTAGAAGCTGTCACTGTCGCACTCCGGATGCGAACACACCCGGTCCTGCATCTCTAAATCTGAGTAATTGTATCCATCTGTAATGACGAAGTATACCGGAGGACCAACTGACAGGTACTTGTTAATACTCTTGAAGTACGACAGCAGATACGAGTCCTTAAAAAGAAAAATATAAACATAATAAACTATGCTGTAATGAAAAACAACAACAAAGTTTCTGTTCAGTTTTATATTCAGGCTGAGATAAAAAGTAAACTTCTGGAGAAACAAATACACACTGTAGTCCTAACTTAATAAAGTACTCATTATGGTAACACATTCCAAAATTGGATGAATAATATATGTGTAAATATTATTGTTAAAATTTGTTTATTCTTTAGCTAAACAAAGAGATCACTGGGTAGAAAACGGTTATCACCAGAAACATAAATCATTTGACTGAAAACATGTAGGATACGGGAAGTGTTGTCAGTTTTTAGTTTATCATAAGAAATATACAAATGAAGTCACCATAAGTCATTTGACTGGAAACAGTAGATTACAGGAAGTGTTGTCAGTTTTTAGTTTATCATAAGAAATATACAAATGAAGTCATCATAAGTCATTTGACTGGAAACAGTAGATTACAGCAAGTGTTGTCAGTTTTTAGTTTATCATAAGAAATATACAAATGAAGTCACCATAAGTCATTTGTCTAGGAACATGTAGAATACAGGAAGTGTTGTCAGTTTTTAGTATATCATAAGAAATATACAAATGAAATCACCATAAGTCATTTGTCTAGGAACATGTAGAATACAGGAAGTGTTGATGTTGATCTAGTAAAAATAGATTTCACTTTGAAGAGATTAGAACACCTTAAAGCAACAAAACACAAGAACATAAAGTATCAATTGGCCAAACACCTTAATGGTAATTACTGAAGACATTGAACTCACAAGAGTGTCGTAGCAAAATTTTTAATACCAACAGCCACTGTTAGTTAGCAGCTTAAACAGCTCAAAAACAAGAGAACTGTATACCTACTAGAAAATCAGTAAACTTACTACAACAAATATAGTATACCTACTTAGAAAATCAGTAAACTTACTACAACAAATATAGTATACCTACTTAGAAAATCAGTAAACTTGCTACAACAAATATAGTATACTTACTAGAAAATCAGTAAACTTGCTACAACAAATATAGTATACCTACTTAGAAAATCAGTAAACTTACTACAACAAGTATAGTATACCTACTTAGAAAATCAGTAAACTTACTACAACAAATATAGTATACTTACTTAGAAAATCAATAAACTTGCTACAACAAATATAGTATACCTACTAGAAAATCAGTAAACTTACTACAACAAATATGGTATACCTACTAGAAAATCAGTAAACTTACTACAACAAATATAGTATACTTACTTAGA